AGAGATCATATTTCTCTTGCCATCACATCATATTGCACTTGGGTGTGCTAACACAGCCACCTCTGCACACTCAGGAAATGAAGACTGATTCCACTGTTAGGATTCCATCATAGAAAGGGAAAGAATAGCTGCCTAAGAGAAAGACATTTCAACACAGACTTTTCCCAAATCTTAATCTTTTTGCTCAGCTAGGGTATCCACTTTTATTAGTAGGTGGGCAAAATGATCAGAAATGAGAGAAGTAGTTTAGTGATCATGGGTTTGCTACATGCCATTGAGGCGACCCAGGCTCACCCAAAGAAATAAGGCTAGTCCAGTCAGCTTTATGACTCCCTAGTCCTGTCGTTTCACTAAGTCTCACTGAAAATGAGGGAAGCTAGGGCCTTCCACGCTTACTCAAGCACAAAGGCAGCCTGGCGAGCTGAGAGCTGGCCAGCCAAGGCTGGTAAGCCTTCTTTATTTGTTTGAGTCAAATATTCCTTCCTTGATTTTTTTGTCTGGTAGAATCTCAGTCCTTTTGGATCTTCATGCCTTGGCTGGATCTCTGGTATGATCAGAGCCTGAAACTCTTCTTCCCCTTCCCAAATCCCAGCTCTGGCCTGATGTATAATGGTTGACAGGCCTCACCTGTGTTGTACACAGGCTTGGCCATAAATGGACTCTTTCACTTACAGTCAGGGCATGGTTTAGAAGCTATCTCTCCTGAACCTTCTAGGATCTGGAAATGGAGAGCTCCCAATGCCACATATACCTTAACAAGTCAGAAAAGACTAGAAAAATTTAAGCTGAGAAGAATAATGCTGAATTTTATAGAAGAGGTACGATTATAAGGGAGCGGAAAGATGGAGCGAACTGGATCACCCATGATCTTTACTTTGCTTATATAGTTTTACTTTTCTGGTTCCCCTTCCTGCCCCCTCCATCACTATTTCTGTCACACAACAAAAACCAGCACTTCACAGAGAAGTGGGGTGTGCAGATTTGGTCCACTTCTTGCTTTTGCAACTGTGTGGTGGTTCCCACAGATGAGAGACCTCTACCTACCTGAGTTTTTGTCAGGCAGTCGGTTTATCCTCCACACAATGGAGTTGAAGGCATGTTCATACTTGGCAGTTCCCAAAGTTACTCTCATGACAGGCTCAGAGCCCGATATACTAGTTGAGCCAAAACTCGCCCCACGGTTCACTTTGGCTTTCAGAGACTTTTCCCCCAGCACACTTTCCCTGCGGAAGTTTTTCACCCACTCACTGGGCACAGGGTAACGAACCATCACGTTCTCACAGGGCACCTGAGTAAGAGGGTCACGGTTAGAGGAGAAGCCAGTGGACATCCGCAGCCAGCTCTGTACCTCCACCTCTGCCCCGTTGATGCTTGCCGCCGTCCTGAGTGTGAAAGGCAAGGTCTTCTCCGCATACACTGTCCTAAAGCGCATGAGCTCAAACCGGCACGCATCCAAAGGGTTGAACAGAATAACCCGTGAGCTGTTGAATACATCCTCATCCACGCAGCCATGGAAACGGCACTCGTGGAGCTTGATCCACTTGCTGGTGGTGATGGGCATGATGTCTTGCCGGGAAACGATCTCGTTCCCCTTGATCAGGATGTCATTGAGACCCAGGCGGCACTCTGCAAGCCCAGAGAGGAAACTCAGAATGTGTATCCGTGTCAAGACATGGTGCTGGAGAATTTGATTGTCTCCTTTGCTCACAATGCCAGAAAATTCATCTCTGACATCCACTGTAAGCTCCTCTTCAAGATAGTTCAAACCAACTGTGGTCAAGTCCATCGACAACACTGGCAGATTCATGAGGCGGTTCTGAACTGCACGGATGAAGCTCAGGAAATCATCATAGTTGGTGGTGCCCAGCTTAATCACCTGTTCCCTCTCTGCCGTGTGGGCCACTGCAGGTTTGGGCTGGTACTTCTTCTTCTCTTTATAGGTGACACGGTCTATCCGTAAGCTGTGGATCCTGCCATTCTCATCATAGTTTTGGAGCCTGGGCTCGGAAATCTCATGACAGATCTCCAGCTTGAACTCACGAAAAGGTTTCTCTAGGCCCTGCTCATAATACAGCTGCAGGTAACCACTGTCTGTCAGTTTGATATAGATGGGTCCCCAGTGCCTGGAGGACATGATATTTTTCTTCTCAGGTATCCTCAGCATCATTGGCCACCCATCCCTGGGTGGGGATGATGCTGAGCCAGGTGGGTGGTCATCTAGCTCAATCCAGGTGATTGGGTCATCATCAGGTAGTGCTGCATCACCTAAACAGTCAGGATCATCAATGTGGAGCTGTTTGAGCTTCTCAACAGCATCAGAGTGTGACTGGCTTTTGCTTGAGTCGTCAAAGCTGATGGCATCCTGGTAGACAACAATGAGGGAATCTCTTTGGCTCTTGCCCATGGTGCTGGAAATGGAATTGTTTTGGGAACGTCTCTCCTGCTCCTCAAAGAATGCACTGAAAGGGTTGATAGGTGAGGGTTGTACATCCTGTAGAGTCTCATTCAGGAAAGGATTGGTTGCCCTCCAAGGTGGAGGCTCAGTTATGGAAGGTGGGTGGTTTAAGGAGGAAATATCCAGCTTCTGAACTTTGGAGAAGTTCATCAAAGTGCTTCTGGGACGTTCCCTCTTCTTAAATGACCCAGTTGAGTTATAAGGTACATCTGGGATTGCAGATACAACAGGTGGCGTTCTTGGCTTCAGAGGAGAGGTGACTGGTGGCAAAGGGCAGATTTCATTGTCATCAAAAGTGACCCAGCTGGGGAAACGAGCAGAGGTGACTGGAGTGGCAGGGTGTCCATTCAAGGCTGGACTGCTGGCTTGCCAGTGGATGGCCTCCATCTCTACTTCTTCATCTTCCTGAAGCGAAGAAGAATTGTCTAAAAAAAAAAAAAAGGAACCCATGAGGGGCAGCTCTTCAGGGCCTCTAGACATATGGAAAACTGAGGTAAGGGAATAAGGGATAACTAAAATTTTATCTAGAATCCAGTACATTCCAAAGCAGCTCATTACTTAGCAAGCATTTTTTATCAGCACAGAACTTACCAGAGTGGCCATATATTAAATATTGTAGGAGTACAAATGGGTCTCTCCATATCGAAGCACTGTTAAGACCAACGTCCCCTGCAACTTACTTAACTTACACATTCTCCCTTTATTTCCATAGAAGTTTCTAGAATAAATATTTTACTCTGCTCTAAAGTATATATTCTTAGGACTTACGCATTGAAAATCACCTCCTAGATATAAGAGTATAAAACTGATAATATGACTGCAAATCACATTGTTAAGGGATTTTAGCCTAAAGTTGTTCAATAAATATTAAAGACTTTAAAATGTTAACATCCTTAATATGAAGTAAGTTCACACAAGTCAAAGAAATATAAAAACCCTAGTAGGAATACTGGCAAAGGACAGATATAGACAACTCAGAAAAGATAATTAAAAATATCTAGTAAACAGGGGCCCTCCCTGGTGGCGCAGCGGGTTAAAGCACTGCACTAAGAAGCTTAAGCCACTTCCACATGAGTTCGATCCCCGCCTGCCCCGGAGGAGATCCACATGGCGAGGCAGACCTCTCCTGACCCGCCCGCTGCTCCCCTCAGCAGTGTACTTCTTAGATCTGCCTGTTCTAGTCCCCACTCTGTCTCTGGTGAATCCTCTCACCCTCTGCATCTCTGGCCTGTACCCCGTTCTATGTGAATAAATAAATAAATCTTTAAAAAAAAAATATCTAGTAAACAGGCCCTCCCTGGTGGCACAATGGGTTAAAGTACAGCACTGTGAGCAGCCACTTTAGTGCCAGTTTGATCCTGGCCCCTGGAGGTGACCCACATGGCACGGCAGACCTCTCCTGACCCACCGGCTGCTCCCCTCCTCAGTGTACTTAATTAATCTGCCTTTTCTGCTCCCCACTCTGTCTCTGGTGAATCCTCTCACCACCCTTGAACCTCTCTCACCTGTACCTCTAAATCTTTAAAAAAAAATCTAGTAAACTTGTAGAAAATGTTCACTGTCTACCATAATAAGGAAAGTAAGGATTAAACTAAAAAAATCAATGAAGATTCTTATAGTTTTTATTATCAAATGAGGGTAAAGAATTTATAAACAATAAATAAACACTGAGTCCGTAAATTGCCATAAACTCTTTGGAAAGTGGTTTGGCAATTAATACTAAGAGTCTTATAAATGTTCATAAACAACTTAATAATTCTACCCACAAGAAATAAATCAAAATTGTGAACCAAGTTTTGGATCAAAATTGTAAACCAAGTTTTGGATGAACATTAAGAAACTGAGACACAGTTATTAAAATGTTTATAAGTATTTAGCAACATGAGAAAATGCTCATTATATAATTTCCTCTAAAATAATTTTCCATGTTGGGGTTTCTTTATTTAATGAAGAATAAAAAGGTTATCACAAATAAATTTCAACCCTGTAGTGCCTTTAAGGAAGGAGACTTCAGCCTTGATGCGGAAAGGATACAAAACTTTTTGGTATCATTAGGACCTTGTGTGTCTGCTGGGTCTGTGGGAAGTGAATGGTGGGGGAAAGAGGGTGAAGGAATAAAGTCTCTAATAAGGAGTGCATTCTGATTAAGAAATGGCAAATCTGTGTTTGGCATGTAGAAAACACTCAGTGAAGGTTTGTTGATTGACGGGTTAGGAAAAGAAACTTTGCTTGGAACTGTTCTCCTCTCTCTGTTTCTGGAAGACTGTATTTGGGGGTGTCTACCATCATTCCACCCACTGTTTCTACTGCCAGTAATTTGGAATCAGAGGAAAAAAGGTACTTAAATAATTGAGTTGAGTGGCTGTTTTCTGACAATGTTACCAAGCCTGCACAAATGCCCAGTGATGGTAAATCAACAATGCCACCCGTAATTACTAAGGTAACAGCACGTAGGTGGGATGGTAGGCTTGTTATCTACTTTTCCAAGAATATGTATTCAAACAGCAATGTCCCCTGCTGGAGATAATAGCTGGAACATACAGGCTCTCAGGACATGCTTCCATAGCCACATGCTCCCCAGGAGCAAAGTGAACAAAAATGAATTTCTGTATGTACAGAACCACTAAAGGATACCAGAGCATTTTTAAAGATAAAGATGTGACTCACCTTCGAATTACTCATTAAGCTACTTCTATATATGAGTAAGAGATTTATTTTCTAGAAAGTGAAGGGAAAAGGGTCAAAAGCAATCTTGGTTTTAAGATTTATGCTAAATTTGCTACCGCTACTACTATTACTGCTGCAACTACAATACAGAAGGTCACAGGGTACTGATGGCCCCCAGGAATATATAACCAGGGACTAGCAACTGATCCTGCCTAGAGAGCTGGGAGAGGCGTGTACCTGAGTCTCATCAATCTCTATTAAAGGGCCTCTATGGGGCTTTTGTTAGGTAAGTATTTCACCCTTGCAATCCTACACAGACCCACCCCTGTAGCAAGGGACGCCTTATTGCCTTGGGGCTTATTACCACTCCCCAGTTTCAAACAAGCAGAAGTCCTCTTCCTTTGGAGGGCAGCTTTCTGCCAAATCTATTTATACTTCCCAGCCAAAGGATTCCCTTCTACTAGAAATCGTGCCTCAAAATAGCATTTTTCATATTCTTCTCCCCCCAAAAGGGGGAAAATAGGCCTTTGTCTCTACTAAACACAGTTTTCTTACAATAAAATCCTTTTAAAATCAAGTTATTTAAAATCATGCCAAGTTCTAGACAGTTTTGAAGTATGAGGCTTATAATTTGAATGAAGTGTCTTGAAGTATGGAGGAACAATTTTCAATAAAGTGAATTTTTAGAAATTCTACAATCTCTGTGGCAGCTATTAAACAGTATTAAAAAGACTTAGTTACAGAATTCTCTCTCCTGCAGCAAGATCATCTTCCATGATTACAATCTGTTTTTTAAAATCCATGCTCTGGGAATTGTAGTGTATATTTTAAATTTTGGAATATGGTTATTATCTGTTTTCTACATTTATAAAGAAATAATATCTTACTAGATACTTTTACAGATGACAAGCAGAAGTGCTCCAGAGTTTACATGCAAATGAAGCATTTCTTGATGTGAACCCAAGGACACCCCAATATTATTTTTAAAAGATTATCACTCATTAACCTGGACATTCCTATGGGTGACCTTTTAACTTTACTTCATTATCATTTACTCAAAGACATCTTCAAGTGGTTTTAATGAGCATTAGCTATATGCATGACAGTTTCACATATATAAAAACAACTTCTTTGTATGTGAAATGTCTGGAAAAAATAGTTGCGAAAGCTTAATACCCTTAACAAATAATGACATTGTATCCTTAATAAAAGGGATACACCTTCATATACAAAAAATAGGATAAGAGAGATTAATTAAGAAATACTAATGTCTAGTGACTATTTGGCAAAAAGTTTAACATTATAAAATAATATATACAACTTTCCCAGTGTCAGAGAGGCAATAATTTAGAAAGAATAACCATTACTTGTGATGGGAGGAAACTTACACTCTGATGAAAAGATTAAAAAATCTTTATGGAGCCCTTCCTGGTGGTGCAACAGTTTAAAGCACAGCATTACGAAGTTAGCTGCAGCTACCATAGCACAAGTTTGATCCCCAGCCAGGGAGCTGACCCACATGGCACAGCAGACCTCTCCTGGCCCGCCTGCTGCTCCCCTCAAAAGTGCACTTGGTCAATCTGCCTGTTCTGCTCTCCACTCTGTCTCTGGCGAATCCTTTTACTGCCCCTACCCCTTTGGCCTGTACTTCAGTCCTGTATGTATAAATAAATAAATCTTAAAGAAAAATCTTTATGGAGCATAATTTAAAAATTAGTATAGTCTTCAAAAAAGTGATTCCAAATCTCACTTACAGGGGAATTTATCCTAAGGGAAAAACAGACAAGCAGGCAGTGATGTATATAGTAGCCTGTTTATAACAGCAAACTTATAACATTGAAAAACTGGAAACAGGGTCCTCCCTGGTGGTACAACAGGTTAAAGCACAGCACTGTAAAGCTATCTGCAGCCATTGCAACATGAGTTCAATCTCCGGCCAGGTAACCCACATGGCGCAGGCAGGCCTCTTCTGACATGCCCACTGCTCCCCTCAGCAGTACATTTTGACCAGGATCTGTCTGTTCTGCTCCCACTCTGTCTCTGGTGACCTCTCACCCCCCTACACATCTGGCCTGTACCCCAGTTCTTGTGTGCATAAATATTAAGAAAATAGAAAGAAAAAAAATTGGAAACAACCTGCATAATAATAGGAGAGTGGCTATACCAATTTTTTAAGTCTTAATGTATGTTTGCCCACATGAGTGCTGAACATGATGTGTGTGTTGAGTGAATAATAACCACAGCCTGCAATCTGAGTCAGACGACCTGTGTCTACAGATTATTAGCTAGATGACATCAGGAAAGTAGTTTAATTTCTCTGTGTCTCTGTTCTCCCATCTATGAAATAAGGAAAGTATTAAACCCTTCATGATAGGGTTGCTGGGAAAATGCAATAGAGATGTTAGTGTCACTGTGCTTGGCAAATAATAAAAATGCAGTGATGGTAACTGCTGTTACTGCTACTACCAGAATGATGTGCTTTCATGTTGTAAGGTAGATATGTATTAAAAAAGCTTTGGAGAATAATATTTCATAAAGTTTCATGTAAAAACAGATGTCTTAGAAGTGATTTTAAAAATTTTAAGGTGCAAACATATGTTTACTATTCCCACTAATTAAGGAAGAAAACAACTGCTTTGCTGTGTTCTACACTGATAAGACAGCTGCTAGATCTTTCCCAAGTCACTCAGCAGTAATGGCACTCAGCAGTACTGGAAACAAGGCGGGGAAAAGCTTGTAAATCTTTCCAGTAAAAAGC